TCCCCGGCAGACGCGCCCCGACGCTCGCTGCGGGAGGCGTCGTGGGAGGAGGCGCCGCCTGGCATGCGGGGAGATGCTCCAGCCTTCTTCCAGGACGGAGCGGCAAGTTCTTCCAGCCAAAGGATGCGAGACCCTACGCCCCTGCGCGAAGACGCAGGCCTGGGGGGGGGGCGGGTCGAGGCACGGAAGCAGCCTCGCGCTCAGATGTACCCACTTGGCCTCCAAGCGGGCCGTGCTTCTTGAGCCAGCATGGCTGTGGAGGAGGAGGAAGAGGAGGACAACATACATACATATATATATATATACTAGAACCACGCGCGCGCTACGCGCGCGCTTAGGTTCTAGTACACGTTTGAGGCACCGTCGGTGGGCAATTGGCGGACTCCATGACGCTTGTGTGCTATGGGTCGCAGGCCCGCTCGTCGGATGTTGTGTGCACTCTGCGGTGATCAGATCTTCTCCTATCCAGGTCCTGCTTTGTGGCACCTAGTGGCTTGTAGTGGCTCTCAGTGACTCCTCCTCCGCGCGCCGTCGATGTACACAAGCACGCCGTTACGCTGTGCGCCCCTCAACCCCAACCACTCGCGCGGGGCCAGCGGACGTGAAGCCGAATGCTGGAGAGCTATACTACTTGCGCCTTCTCCTCCTGCTCGTGACTGGAAAGGGCGTCACGTCATGGATGGCCCTGAAGCGCCACCCTCATCATGTTCCCGGACCGCCTTCCGGGAACATGATGGGGACGACTTCTGAGGGCCTCCAGTGGGCCTCTTGGGGGCCTCTCGGAGGCCTGTTGGGCTCTCCTGGAGGCGTCTCGGGGCGCGCTCAGGGCCATTTTTGGGCATCTTGGGGGCCTCTATATATGGGGAAGAAATTGAAATACGTGGAAGGAAGTGGCACGACTCGGGAGGGCTTGGGGGAGGGGTATATATATATATATATATATGTGTATATGTGTGTGCGCGTATATATATATACATAAATATAAACCCATACGTAAGACATGTAGGATTGTGTACACAGGAGAAGGACAATCTATAGAAACGTAGTGCGTCGTCCAAGGCGCCTCGGAAGGCGCCTCGGAAAGCGCAGAATACTCCTCCAAGGCGCGGAATCATGTTCCCGGACCGCCTTCCGGGAACATGACGGGGACGACCTTCTGAGGGCCTCCAGTGGGCCTCTTGGGGGCCTCTCGGAGGCCTGTATATATATATATATATATATATATATATATATATAGTATATAGACCCATACGTAAGACATGTAGGACTGTGTACACAGGAGAAGGACAATCTACATATACATAGGTACGTCGTCCAAGGCGCCTCGGAAGGCGCCTCGGAAAGCGCAGAATACTCCTCCAAGGCGCGGAATCATGTTCCCGGACCGCCTTCCGGGAACATGATGGGGACGACCTTCTGAGGGCCTCCAGTGGGCCTCTTGGGGGCCTCTCGGAGGCCTGTTGGGCTCTCCTGGAGGCGTCTTGGGGCGCGCTCAGGGCCATTGTTGGGCATCTTGGGGGCCTCTATATATGGGGAAGAAATTGAAATACGTGGAAGGAAGTGGCACGACTCGGGAGGGCTTGGGGGAGGGGTATATATATATATATATATGTATATATATATATATACGTATATATACATATATATATAGACCCATACGTAAGACATGTAGGATTGTGTACACAGGAGAAGGACAATCTATAGAAACGTAGTACGTCGTCCAAGGCGCCTCGGAAGGCGCCTCGGAAAGCGCAGAATACTCCTCCAAGGCGCGGAATCATGTTCCCGGACCGCCTTCCGGGAACATGACGGGGACGACCTTCTGAGGGCCTCCAGTGGGCCTCTTGGGGGCCTCTCGGAGGCCTGTGGGGCTCTCCTGGAGGCGTCTTGGGGCGCGCTGAGGGCCATTTTGGGCCTCTTGGGGGCTTCTGGGGGCCTTCGGGGAGGCTCTTGGGGGCCTCTTTGGGGCCTCTTGGGGCCTCGCGGGGCCCTCTTGGGGACCGCTGGGCTCGCTTAGGCAGTCTTGAAGCCCTGTCGGGGCACTCCTGGAACCGTCTTGGGCGGCTCCTGGGCCATCTTGGGGCTCTCCTGGGCCGTCTTGGGACGATGTTGGGGGTCTCTTGGGCCGTCTTGGGGCGGTCTTGGGGGCCTGTTCGGCAGTCTTGAAGCGGTTTTGGGAGACTCTTGGGCGGCCTTGGAGCGTCGGAGCCCCGAAAAAGCGAGAAGGCCAAAAACCTAGGAAAAAACGATACACATCAACGATGTTGGCTTGTCGGGGCTCTCTTGGGAGGCCTCTTGGGATGCCTTCGGGGCCTCATGGAGCTCTCTTGGAACGTCTTCGGGCCTTCCTGGCCATTCCTGAGGCTATCTATGCGCGTCTTGGAGCGCTCGCGGGCCGTCTTGGGCGGTCTCAAACTGTTCCTGGCGGTCCCAGGGGCCCTCCGGGACGCTTCGGACGCTCCCGGGGGCGCCCTGCACACCCCATGGAGATGACAGGCACCGCCCCGGGGCCCTACTCCGATCGATATATATATATATATATATATATATATATATATATAGCCCTGCGCACCCACCAAGAACCCCCCTTTTCTCATGATTATAAATGATTTTACATATGATTCCTACGATTTTCGGACTCACTGTTGAGGCTCTTTTTTGGAAGACATGTTGGGCTCCCTTCTGCTCAACTCCCTCCGTCTCCAACACAACACCAATTACTCAACAGCCTCCTTCTCCAACACAACACCCGATACTCAACAGGCTCCCTCCCCAAGCTGAACTTGAAAAGAACCTTCTACTCAACTCCCTCCGTCTCCAACACAACACCCAGTACTCAACAGCCTCCTTCTCCAACACAACACCCGATACTCAACAGGCTCCCTCCCCAAGCTGAACTTGAAAAGAACCTTCTACTCAACTCCCTCCGTCTCCAACACAACACCCAATACTCAACAGCCTCCTTCTCCAACACAACACCCGATACTCAACAGGCTCCCTCCCCAAGCTGAACTTGAAAAGAACCTTCTACTCAACTCCCTCCGTCTCCAACACAACACCCAGTACTCAACAGCCTCCTTCTCCAACACAATACCCGCTACTCAACAGGCTCCCTCCCCAAAGCTGCACCAAGAACCCACCTTTCTCATGATTATATCTGAATTTATATATGATTCCTACGATTTTCGGACTCACTTTTGAGGCTCTTTTTGGGAAGACTGGTTGAGCTCCCTTCTACTCAACTCCCTCCGTCTCCAACACGACACCCAGTACTCAACAGCCTCCTTCTCCAACACAACACCCGATACTCAACAGGCTCCCTCCCCAAGCTGAACTTGAAAAGAACCTTATACTCAACTCCCTCCGTCTCCAACACAACACCCAGAACTCAACAGCCTCCTTCTCCAACACAACACCCGATACTCAACAGGCTCCCTCCCCAAGCTGAACTTGAAAACAACCTTCTACTCAACTCCCTCCGTCTCCAACACAACACCCAGTACTCAACAGCCTCCTTCTCCAACACAACACCCGATACTCAACAGGCTCCCTCCGTCTCCAACACACGGACATGTACTCCAGATCCTACCACTACAACACGACGCGACACCCGAAACTCCAACCGCAGCCGCCCCCCTTTTTTCTTGGCATCTTCCAAAAGAAAGGGGGGTTCATGGTGGGTGCGCCGGCCTATAGCCCTATATATAAATGATTATATGATATGTATACCGAGGGAGAGAGAGAGAGAGAGAGAGAACAAAAAAAAGGAGGAGGAGGAGGTGGAGGAGGTGGAGGAGGAGGAGGAGGAAGAGGAGGAGGACGAGGAGGGGGACGCGGAAGAGGAGGGGGGGGCGGGAGGAGGGGGGCGGGAGGAAGACGGGGAGGACGCAGAGGGAGAAGGAATGCAGGACGGAGAAGGAGGGGGAAGAAGTAGGAGGGACGCGGAGGTTATTGGGGACGGGCCTCAAGCCAGGGTGACTCGCGGTCAAACAAAGTCTGACGCGTCCGAACCCGACTCCTCCCCGAGAAAGCCGAACGACGAGTCAGCGCCTCCCCTCGAGCTTTAACGCAGGGGGGGCCATCACTGGTCAAACCAAATTGGTCCAGGACCTGCTCTCCTGGGGCGAACGCCTGGAGAGTGACGAATTCGCAGGCAGACCCAGGGTCCGTGGGGCCAGGAGAAGGGCCAACATCCCCTTCCAGTGTCCCAAGTAAGCCCTCTCGCTCGGCGAGGCTGAGGCCCCTCAAGGCCCCCGACACCAGGTCAATTCTTGCCTTGCCTATTCAGAAGAGGACTTGCTCAACGGAGATCTGCGAAGCAGGCCGGTGAGGCACCCCAGCCTTCCTGGGCCCGCGGCACTCACTCGCCAGACCTCTCGAAGCCGAGCCACCACCCGTGACCGCCCCACATCTACAACAGAAAACGAGCTGTCCATTGGGGCCTCTCTCGGCCGCCGGGACGGGCGCGCCAAGGAAAGCATGCGCCCAGCACAGGAAAACAGACCGAGCGTGTTCCTCCCACCCGCCCCCAGGTCCGACTCCCGCCTGTCCTCCGAGATGCCAAGAGGACGCGAGTCCTCGGCTAGCACCTGTCGGGTGGGGCACCGCGGGGCGCCGCCGACTCCGCGGGAAGCCCCGCTGCGTCGCGCACATCTTGGCGCGACAGTAGGACTTCCAACATGTCAACCCAGCGCCCCGCTTCGAGTGCCAGGCTGCCGAGCCCTCGAAGGAGGGAGGAAGAGGAGGAGGAGGAGGAGGAGGAGGAGGAAGAGGAGGAGGAGGAGGAGGAGAGGAGGAGGAGGACGGAGGAGGAGGAGGAGGAGGAGGAGGAGGAGGAGGAGGAGGAGGAGGAGGAGGGAGGAGGAAGCGAAGGAGGAGGACGAAAAGGAAGAGGAGGACGAGGAGGGGGAGGAGGTGGAGAAGGCGGAGGAGGAGGAGGAGGAGGGAGTAGGAGGCGAGAGAGAAGGATGATGATGGCTGTGGCCGGTCGGACGGGTCTCCTATGGAGTCGCGGTGCTGCTTGGTCGGCGTAAGGCCCTCGGGGGCGTCGGCGTCGCTCATCGGGGTCCGAGCGTTGGGGTCCTCGCGCTCGGGGTGCGGCGGGGTAAGGAGGGGGGGAGGAGGGGAAGGAGGGAGGGGGTTAAGGAGGGGGGAGGGTGCGGTGGGGCAGTGGGGGGGGTAAAAAAGAGGAAGGAGAGGAAAGGGGGGGGAAAGGGGTAGAACGTGGAAGGGAGCGACAGAGGAAAAAGAGGGGATGGGGATAAAGAAGGTGGGGGGAAAGAAAGGGGGGGGGGAGGGGGCAAGGAAAGGGGGTGCGGTACGGGGGGTAGGGAAGGGGACAAGAGGGGGGAGGGGGGGGGAAGGGGAGAGGGGGGGGGGGGGGGGTGCGGTACGGGGGGGTAGGGAGGGGGATAAGAAGGGGGGTAGGGAGGGGGATAAGAAGGGGGGGAGGGGGGGGGGGAGAGAGGGGGGGTGAAGCTAGGTGCGTGCGCTCGCGCCACGTCTGACATCCTACCCCTCCCTCTCAGCCCTTCCCGTTGCGCTGTTTTTGATGTACCCGCGGGCGCGTCATGGCCGACCTGGATCTCCACAAAAAGACCCCACTGTGTTATGCGCAATCACATAAGCGAAGCTGCGTACAGAGGAGGAGACCTTTTCTTGAATCGGCGATAACCTGGATTATCCAGGGGGGGGGGGGGGGGCGGCCGCTTGGCAGCTCCGCATATGCCCGCGCGCACCGGTGTTGCGGCCCCTACAGCTGCTAACGATGCTGCCGCGATGCTACTATCGGTGCTGCGACGATGCGGGCGCCGTTTGAGAATGCCTAAGGGATGTCTGGGCAGCTCGCATTGGAATACGCGGGATGTGATTGCTAATCGTAGGCGCGAAGTCTTGTGTACACTACACGAGTGCACCACACTGCCTGTGAGCACTACAAAGAATGCGTGCGCCACAACGGTCTTGCATACCATAGGTGCTGCTGCAGCAAAAGTTTATGCGCGCACCACAGCGCCTGTGTACACCCCGATGCCTGTGCATACCACAGGAGCAACGTGTACCACAGCGTATGGCGAACATTTGCGCCACAGCGCTTCCGCGCACCTCCAAGGTCCCGCCGGGGCGCGAACGTATCAATTCCAATATGTAAGTTCAATATGATTCTTGATTTTTCTGCCCCGGGGCACGGTCTTCCCGTTTTTGGCCGACCATGTTTGTGCACACCACAGCGCCTGTCTAGCGTGCGCCACGACGCCTTTGTACTCCACAGCTGCCTGTGTACACCGCAGCGCCTGTCTAGACAACATTGCCTGTGTAAACCACAGTGCTTGTGTACACCACAGCACCCGTGTGCACCACAGCGCCTGTGTACACTGCGGTGCTTGTGCACACCACAGGAGCGCGTGCACCACAGCGCATGGCAAACATTTGCGCCACAGCGCTTCCGCGCACCTTCAAGGTCCCGCCTGGGCCCAAATCTGGAAAATCCCGGGGGCCCGAACCTACCAAGTTCAATCTGTAAGTCATTGGTGATTATGGATGGTTCTGGCCCGGGGTGCGGTCACCCCGTTTTTGGCCGACCATGTCTGTGTACACCACAGCGCCTGGCTAGCGTGCGCCACGACGCCTTTGCACACCTCAGCTGCTTGTGTACACCGCAGCGCCTGTGTACACAACAATGCCTCTATGTATGTACACCACAACACCCGCGTGCACCGCAGCGCCTGTGTGCACCACACGCACACACTGCCTATGAACACGACGACGCCTATGTGCACCCTGGATGCTTCTTCAGCACCATACTCGTGCACCACAGTTCCGGTGCACCTCACTGCTTGTGTACACCACAGACCTGCGTACACTTCCAGGGCCCCCTGCAGGACCGAACTCAAGAAAATCATAGGGATTCCGAACGTATCAAATCAAATCTGTACACTATTTGTGATTATTGATTTCTCTTGCGCAGGGAACGGTCCCGTCTTTTGGGCCCACAACGCCTGTGTACATCATAGCGAATGTGTGCACAGCAGCGGATGTGTACACCGCAGCGCCTGTGTACACCACACGGTACACCGCAATGACAATGCGCCACAGTGCTTCTGTACACCACCATGCCTGGGATGCCTGCGTGCATGACAACTGATGTTGCAACAACAGTTGTGCACACCACAAAGCCTGTCTTCATCATACTGCCAGGGTGCATCACGATGCCCGCGTGCACCGCGCGAACTGCGTGCATTTGTGCTTGCGTGCGCTACAACGACTGCGTACACAACAGATCTTGCTGCAACAGCAGCAAACGCGCGCACCAAATCGCCTCGCTGCCTGTGCACAACGCAATGCCTGTGTACGCGCTGCTCACGTGCACGCCCAGATGCCTATGGACGACGTCGGTCGTCGGTGTCGTCGTCGTTCGTCGTCGTCTACCGACATCTATCATCGTCTGTCGTCGTCTGTCGTCTGTCGTCTGGCGTCTGTCGTCTGTCGTCTGTCGTCGTCGTCATCTCCCCGTGCCACTCCAAGCCCCAACGTTTCGCCAACGCGCATCCAAACACCAGTATGCTTTGGCGAGCACCACCGCGCCGATGAACACAGCGCTCTCTGCAAGCTCCCTGCCCCACCCACCCCGGACCTGCACAACCGGCTAGGTTAGGTTAGCCTGGAGGGGAGGGGGGCGATCCCGATAACCCAGATGATCACCGGACCTTAAAAAACAGTCTCGAGGAGGAGGAGGAGGAGGAGGAGAAGGAGGTGGCGGGTGAGCAGGAGGCTGAGCAGGGAGGAGAAGGTGAAGGAGGACGAGGACAAGCAGCAGCAGCAGCAGCAGGAACTGGAGCGGAAGGAGCGGAAGGAGCGGGAGGAGCGGGTGGACCAGGGGAAACCGGAGGAAGGGAACTGAGGGGGGCGACAACGCTGAAAAAGGACTCGGATCCCAAAAAGTGGCTCCCGTTGGGGCGAGAGCGCCATTCTGAATGACGAGAGCAAAAAAAAACCGATCCGAAAATGAGCCCCACGCTGAAGCGGGAACACGATTATGAAACACCGGAATCAATCCGATTATAAAACGCCACAAGGGACAACACCTTTGCGCAATCCTGCGTAAAATAACACAAAGCGGAGAGAACATACCGTCCTGACGGAACAGGAGATGAGAGTAGCATTTACAATGTGAAATTGGGGAGTTGGGGGGGGAGGAGGGCGGAGGATGAGGAGGATGACCAGATCAGAGCAAAACCAGAATGCATCAGCGATGCTGCGACACACCCTCCCTGAGAACCGTTTAACCGATCCTTATCCCCAGTGGCGTGGCCATAGCCCCACAGGTAAATTGACCTGCCTAGACGGGGCTATAGGCTCTTTCCTTAGGAAGACGAGGGGTGTACATCCCCAACTGGGGTGCCGAGGTTGTCGGGCTCGGTATGGGGATGTGGACAGTGGGGAGACCTAAATGCACCGATACAGCGGCTCCCTGGACCTCTCCAAGGGTGCGTTCTAACCAGAATCTCTACGCGACTCCAGCGGTGGCGACGAGGGCCTCTCAGGAGGCCGAACAAGGCGAAAACGAGGAAGGGTAGCGGTATGGGTACCTTTTTCCTCCTCTGAGATAGGAGTCCTTGAAATGCCACAACATCCCGTCCCAGCTTCCCCTTCCCCAGGAGTCGCTAGCACTGGAAGCGTTCCCTTCCACTGCGGGGGGCGCCAATCTTCTGAATGGCAAACAGCTCGGCAGGGCCTGCCACTCCGGCCGTCCTTTCTGATGGGCCTCCTCGGTGTCAAGGGTCCCTCCTCCGTCCTTTATGATGGGCCTGTTTTCCACCACCACCACCACCACCGTAAGTTGGAGGGAGGAGGGAGGAAGGAGGTGGAGAACGAGGAGGAGGACGACGAAGAGGAGGAGGAGGAGGAGGAGGAGGTGGAGGAGGAGGAGGAGGAGGAGGACCCCTCCCCCTCCAAATTATGGTGGAGGTGGAAGAACAGGCCCATCACTTCCGCTGAAAGAAACGCGACGGCGGAAGTGTCCAGCGATTAACACCAGAGAACAAACAAAAACAATATGTGGATTGCCTCTGCTTTTCGCATGCGCTCCTCACCTCCCCTCTTCCTCCCTCTCTCTCCTCTTCCTCCTCCTGCTCCTCCCCCTCCTCCTCCTCCTCCTCCTCCTCCTCCTCCTTTCTCTCTCATTCTATATATATACATATATATATATAGATATTCCTCTCTGTTCTGTGCATCTCAAGCCAGGAGCACTGAAAACCCGGGAGCCCAGCCGCCTACCGAAATCGGCCTGGGACTTTCGCCAAATCCTTCCGCAGCTATCCGCGATGACCCATTCAGTGGAAGCACTGAAAAGGGAGCAACACCTTTGTGAGAGGACCTGCCCTGTCCGTGCGAGTGTTGTATAATGTCTAACGTTGGGTCATCAAGCTTGCAGATTTCGCAAGCGTGGTCACCTTTGTAACAAGAAGCCGACCTCCATCCGTACAGGTGTTGCACAATTTGGAAGTTCGGGTCGCAGAATTTGAGGACGTCTCAAGCGAGGGCTACATTTTGAAAACGTGTTGGCCTCCATCCTGCTGAATGTTCGAAGTTTGTCTCACGGATGTGCGCGGCGCTGAGGCGAGAGCCGCATTTGTTGTAACCACCGGCCCTCCCCTTAGATAAGAAAGGATCCGCGCAGATCGAAGACAAGGGCCGCAAGTTGAAAACCTCTGGCCGCCAATGCTTGCAATTACTGCACATGTTTCGAAATAGTGTGCGCGGCGCTGAGGCGAGATCAGTATGTTGAACACCACAGGCCTTCCATTTTCCTCAGCTTCCAATATTCCGATTGGAAAAAGATCCAACGAAACGACTGGCCCGGCCTACGTGGTGCGACATGGGTTATCGACTCAGACTACGGAGATGGATGGGCGAGACAGAGGAGGAGGAGTAACAACATGATCTGAGCAAACCCATGATGCACCAACGATGCTGCGACACACCCTCCAGTTCCAAGTCTTCTCCTCATAAGTCCCCACAAGTCTCACTTTCTAATGCGGGAAGCGCCCGCCCCCAAAACGAGCGCAGAACTGTTTGAGCACACC